ATATATATATATATATATATATATATATATGTATAAATTATCTCGCCGTAGTACTAGTGGTAGGGGTCGACAGGAATCCATATATGTATGTATAGTAGTAGTAGGGATAGTAGGCGTTGACAGTCGCATACCTCTGGTTGACGGCAACGAGCACGCACAAGCTATATATATATAGTAGTAGCAGCGGGAGTTGGCAGGTATGGAAGCAGTCATCATATATACATATATATATGTGTATGTATACGTGTACAGCAGCAGCAGGAGATGGGAAGCTCTTGCTCGCTTTTCCGCTGCACTGGTGCCTGTACAAATTCAAGGCTTGTACGAGAGGTACTCACAAAGAAGGCGCGCTTCAGCGCCCCTGAAAACGGAGCTTCGGCCCCTCCAGCGATGCCTTTGAAAAGCTAAGAGTTGTGCTGGCACTACAGACGAGTTACGGTTCACGCCTATGAAACTGGGAACAAAGGCCGTCCAACGATGCCTCGACAAGCCTGATATTGTATCAATGGTGCGCACGGACGAGGCGCGCTCCAGCGCTCCTGATAGTCCAGATTCGGCCCCTCCAGCCACGCTCTGAAAAGCTAAGAGTTGTGCTGGCAGTACAGACAAGTTACGCTTCACGCCTATGAAACCGGGCACAAAGGCTGCTTAACGATGCCTCGACTAGCCTACTATTGTATTAGAGGTAGACACGGACAAGGCGCGCTTCAGCGGTCCTGTTAATGGAAATTCGGCCCCTCCAGCGATGCCTTTGAAAAGCTAAAAGTTGTGCTGGCAGTACAGACGAGTAACATTGTGTGAGGGGTAGACGCGGACAAGGTGCGGTTCCGCACTCCTGATAATGGAGATTCGGCCCTTCCAGCGACGCCTCTGAAAAGCTAGGAGCTGTGCTGGCAGTACAGACGAGTTAGACTTCAGGCTCACTAAGCTGGTGGTAACTTCCGTTTACCGATGCTTCGGGCCCTCCAGCGATGCATCTGGCAAGCTACGAGTTGTGCTGGCGGTACAGACGAGTTGGGCTGCACTCTCACTAAGCTGGTAGTACGCGGCGTCCACTGATGCCTCGAGTAGCCGTAAAATTGTATTAGAGGTACACACAGAAGAGGCGCGCGCTTCAGCGCTCCTGATAATGAAGATGCGGCCCCTCTAGCGACGCCTCTGAAAATCTAAACAGTTGTGCTGGCAGTGCAGACGAGTTAGGGTTCACGGTCACTGTGCTGGTAGTAGTAAGTGCCGTTCACCGACGCGTCGACTCGCCGTAGAGTTGTATCGACGATACTCACAAACAAGGCGCGCCCTTTGGCGGTACTGGAAGGAGATAGGCGCCCCCAGCGCTGCCTCTGAAAAGCTAAGGGTTGTGCTGGCAGTACATACGAGCCACGCATCACTCTCATTAGGCTGGTTGTAGCACAGGGTTGTGCTGGCAGTACATACGAGCCATGCATCACTCTCATTAGGCTGGTAGTAGCAAGTGCCGTTCACCGGTGCCTCGACTAGCCTTAGAGTAGTATCAGAGGTACACACAGACAAGGCGCGTTTCAGCGGTCCTAGAAACGGAGCTCTGGGCCGCCCACAAGTGGCTCTGCTAACCCAAGAACTGTTGTGGAGATACAAAGAGGTTACGCTTTAACTTTTCTGGAAATGGAAGTAGTGCACAGCTGTTACGCCTTAAAACTTCTGAAAATGGAAGTGATACGAAGAGGTTACGCTTTGGCTTTTCTGGAAGAGCTTACGCTTCAATCCTTGTAAAAATACAAGTAGTACAAAGTTGTTCGCTCCATCCCTTCTGGAAATACAAGTAGTACAAAGAGGTTACGCTTCAACCCTCTGGAGTAGTAGTAAGGGCCGCCTACTGAATATGCCTTCACTAGCACGAGGACTGTTCTAGAGAGGGGGGCGGGGGGGATTAGGCTCCAGCGCGTTCACAGGCTCTTCAGCTACAGGGATGTACAAGAGGTGTTGAGCAATTACGCTTCAGCGCACTTGAAAGCGTGGAAATAAGCTTTCAACTCGTGTGTACGCTTTAAACTAGTGTGTTCTTCCCAGTAGCCCTGCCTGTACGTCACCACACAATACTGAAGCATACCGTCATTCATCCAAAGATAGACGCTGCAGGGTCGTGTATTAATGGTGATCACTATGACTACCGTGTTCTTGCTAATAGTCCTACCCGTACGTCATCACGTAATGCTGAAGCATAGGACCCATCATACAATAATGGACGCTGCAGACTCGTATCTCAATGCTGGTTAGTGTGACGACCGTGTCCCTGCGGACAGCCCTACCTCTACGTCATCACAGGATACAGAGGCATACGAATAATCGCCCTACAAAAATAGACGCTGCAGACTCGTATATCAATGGTGATCACTATGGCGACCGTGTTTCTGCTGATAATCGTACCTCTGCTTGATCACATAATACGGAAGCATAAGAACCATCATACAATAATAGACGCTGCAGAGTTTTATACAAGTGGTGGTCGCTATGACTACTGCGTATGTTCCCTACACTGATGCCTGTCCCAGTCCGGGAATTGCGCTGGCGGTACAAACATGTTACGCTTCAACACCCCGGGGAGGTGCCAATACGCACCGTTTACTGCTGGTTCGTGGACGCGTCACTGTCTGCACAGGAGAAGCCGAGAATCTGTTGCGGCGTTTCTCCTTTGTTAGACGCTGCTTTCTATCCTAATAGAATGCTACCCACGTACAGAGTCTCTGTCTCTCCGCCTTGATCTGTCTGTAAATCTCTGTGTGTATCTCTCCCTGTCTCTCTATGCCTCTAACCCTCTGTCTTCCTGTACATCTCTGTGTATGTCTATCTCTGTCCACTTGTCAGTCCGCGCGTATCCGTCGGTCTCTCTCGCTGTCTCTTTGTGTCTGTACCGCTCCGTCTTCCTGTGTGTCTATGTGTGTCTGTCTTTCTTTCTGTATCAGTCTATCTTTGCCCGCTTGTCCTGCTCATTCTTCTTTGTCAGATACTGCTTTCTACCCTAGTAGAAGGCTACCTGCGTACAGACTCTCTGGTCTGCTCTTCGATTGTAGCAGCCGTGGAGCCGAGAGTGTACTGCTGCTTCCCGACTCCGTCCGGTGCTGCATTGTACCGCTGTAGGACGCCACCGCCGTTCGGGGCCTCTCTTCTGCTCTTCATTAGTAGCACCCGAGAAGCCGTAAATTAGTTGCGGGTCTTCTTTCTCGGTCAACGATGCTTTCTACGGTGAACAAAGTGCGGCTTGCATACAGCGCCGCGCGTGTACTTTTCAATTCTAGCATCCGAGAAGCACACGGAATGTGTGGCGGCCTCTCTTTTGGTTAGACGCTGCCTTGTCTTTTGCCGTATTATGCTACCTACGTACATCGGCGCTGTCGGGATCTTCGCTTCCAGCATCTGTGGGGTCCGTGTCTTGCAGCGGCAGCGAGCCAGTCGACAAGGGAGTACGGTCTGTGTTGCACCAAGTTTCTCTTTTTTTCTGCGGCGTTACAATGTATTTGTGACTCAAATGTAGTACTGACACTACAGGTAGACGTTTCGCCCGCGTACTGCAGAATCTGATGTATGATCAACTATGGTAACATAGGAGTAGTTGTTGCAACACCGAGTTCCCGCAAGGCGACATCTGGTGCTTCGAAAATTCTCGTTACCGCCTCGCACTGTCTATCCTCCTCGTCCTTTGGATAGCCGCACGCCACTGTGGAGCATGCCTCTGCCACATAGAACACGCAGCGTGAAGGCACGGTGCCGATACTTGCTTTCTCCCTATCGCGTAGACAGCCGCTGCGACACTCAGGCACGCGTCCTCGTGTATATCCGCCTCCTTATACGCAATTTATGACGCGTTGTACTCGAGCTGAGGGCACCAGCGATATCCGTCTTCGTTTTTCGTACAGAGAAGGCTAGCACCGGGTGAAAAGAGCACCCAGAGCAGCACCCCCGTTGCGTGGGCGGACGACTCTGGAACATCGTAACCTGTGAGCGCTCCTATGTGCGTCATCATATATATATGTATATGTATATATGCATATGTGTACTGAATAATACTTGGAGATCGTGGTCTGTCTGTGCTTGCAGAACACTCCTTCGTTGCGTCAATGTCTCGGCCAAGTTATAGCGGAAGCAGCCCGTAATGAGCAACCGGCGAACACGTGTCAAGATCACGAGACGTTGACGTAAAGCATTAGTCGAGCTTTTCTGCTGCCTCCCACCGTATTCTGCCTTGCAACTGATCTTGAGAAATCGTAGTCCTGGCGTAAGTCCAAAGAATTCAACTGCTTCTGTCGTCCAGCTCTCCGCGCCTCACAATCAGATACTCTAGATGTCTGACGTGCACTACGCATCCGAGATTCCCATTCCTGCCCTGTGCGCACTTGCGAAGATCCTTTGTTCAAGAGCGAGTGACGGATCCTCATCTAACGGGAATTGTGTGCCGTCCTTAGATTTTGTCCTGCGCTGTGCAAGGGCGTGGTTTCGGACCGTCAATTTGCTATTCCCGCAATCTCTGTAACAGACGGTGTATGCAGACGTCTGCTTGCTCTAGTAGCCATCTCAGCTTCTGTCTAGAGCACAGAAAGTAGTGTGTGCTTAGAGCATCCGGCTGTCTCGATGCTCACACCATCGACAGTGAGGTTGGAGGGGCTTCGACGCTAGTGGGGCCGGCGCGCGCTAAAGTACTTATACCGCACGTTGGCGCGTTTTGAAGGACAACGGCTTCGCTGACTAGCATACGCCGATCCCTAGCGGAGTCACCCACGCCCGAAGCTACACCCCTGTGCAGTTCTCTACTCTCAGAAATCGCATGTCGCAAAGGAACGCTGTACGAGGAATACAGATAGCCCATCTGTACAGGCCCACGCGCTCACTCTCTTCACGCCCTGTTCACCGTTCTTCATCCCGTAGAGGTCATTTTTCAATACAGTTGTGCTTCCAGGCAGACGGAAGCTTCGAAGAGTGATCTCGAAGACGGGAATTTTGTGCGAGGCACCTGCAGCGACAAAGCACAGGTATGCCGATACCCGTACTCCGCTGCGGATACACCACAGCGCCTCCACACGCCCCCTTTATCGGAGTGAATGACATGCCACCATCAAGCCGATAGGGGCTGTGAAAGTAGAAAAGGACAGAGTTGCCGCGCCGGCTTCTTCAAGGAGGCTGACGATCTCTACAGCAGAAAAAATGCCAGCCGGTAGGGAAGAAGAATTATCGGAAGACTTCCGCCAACAACCGTCCGCAGTAGGGCTGGCGACGAGCTTCTCAGAGGGCCTTCGAGGTGTAGTGACACCTGAAAGTTCCTCTTCAAACGCAGCGCCTGCCTCTCATAGACGACGTGCCGACTGCGAGGAGGAGGAGGGCCACGAGGGGGAGGCGGCGAATGGCGCTGATCGGCGCCGCGAAGCAGCTGGGCGTGCCGCAGTTGATGATGATGCCCTGGCCGCCGACAAGATGACCACAACGCTAACTCCTGCGCAAATGCTAAATCAACACAGAAGCCGCGTCAAATTATGTATTGAGAACGAAAAGTGAGTGAAGTTGACGGCACACCGCACCTCTGCCTGCAGCTTGAGTCGAACTTCGATTTCCGACTGCAACGCTAACTGGCGCGCAAATGCTGTATCAACACAGAAAGCGCGTCAAACTAGGTACTGAGAACGAAAAGTGAGTACAGCCCAAACTGGCGGCACACCGCACGTCTGCCTGTCGCTCGGGTGGTACGTTGACCCCTGAGCACAACGCTAACTCCTGAGCAACAGCTGAGTCAACACAGAAGCCGCGTCAAATTATGTATTGAGAAAGAAAAGTCAGTAAAGCCCAAACTGACGGCGCACCGCACCTCTCCCGGCAGCCTGGACCGAACTGCGACTGCTGACCGCACGTCTTCTCATACAGCAGCAGAGGTGCTGAGGCACCTCAGCACACGGCTGGATGAGGTTTCAGTGCCGAGAACAACCAGACAAGCGAACGCGTAACCGCAAGGGAGGGCAGAAAGGATAGGGATTTATAGCATACGTGCTGCAGGTGGATATGCCGGGTGTCTGCGCGCGCTTGCTGTGCGGCACCCCGCACAACCTGTTGCGCCTTTCTTGAGACGTGACCCGCTAGAGGAGAAATAAGACGGCTGCCGGATAACTGCCACTGCTAAATTGCAAACTACTTGTCCCTCATGTCCGAATGCGAGGGAGGCGGACAACGACGCGCCCCGCCGGCTTGCATATGTGTTTTGGAAGCTGCCGCTTCATACGCGCATAAAAATACGCATATCGCCGTACGTCGCGGGGGCCAGCGCCGAGCTTCCTCAGCAGACATTGTTTTTATACTCCGCAGGTCCTGGGCTCTTTCTGATGAGATAGCGCAAGGTGTCTTTGCGCTATAGTCTCTGCGCGCCCACGTGATGACGTTTGCTTCTGCCGTAGTCTCTTGTTAGATAGCTTCTCTACCAAGTAGATACGAGTCCGCCAACACCAGGAGGCTGCGCACGTGAAATCCTTCTTGCTGACCGACAGATCCGTCGGTCGTTCTAGTTGTCCTGTTTCAGCAGATCCCTCCGGTCGTCGTGGTTGTCCTAATTCAGCAGTTAGTGCCAGTAATACCTATCCAGGTTTTTTGTGTGCAGCTTCACAGAGAGTGTATTGAGTTGCGCTCGCATGTTACTGATGGCAGCTCGCGTCAGGCATGAAACGTACACACGTTCCGAGATCGTCCATATCTATCTCACACATTTGCTGACGTCCAGGAGCCGTTCGCCATCGAATCAGCAGCTCAGACACCGCCTTCGTGGCCAAATGTGGCCGACCGCTTCGCCAGATGAGCGCAGTGCTTGTCTGCTGCAATTATAAAGCGTCAAAGCAGCGACGGCACACTCTGCGCTGACATTTACAGTTGCTAGAGTCTTCCACCGTACATGACATTCTTTTCACTGGTATACGTCGTTTCCACGTAGCGCTGCTGCTTCATCCATGCCAGTATGGTGCTGTTTTCCACAGCTTCGCATGCGTGCCGTAAGCGTCTATCTGCCGGCTGTGTCTTTACCGCAGGTAACCTCAGAAGGCACCATGAGCTTGGTGACATGATGGAGCTCTTTGTGAACCAGGCTCTTCAGCAGCAGCCGGAAAACATTTTGAAGTTTGCAGGGATCTTTTTCACGCAGCCGAACTTGAGAGAACTGGTCGAGGACTACTCTCGAGAGACCGTTGTTCGCCCCGACACCCGTGACAGATTATACGGCTTATGAAGCGACCACACCACGCACACAGGATGCCCCAATACCTCCTGTTTTACACTCGGGATCCCAATAGAGACGTGTACGTATATACATATATATATACATATATATTTGTATCTATATATGTGTTTGTAGGTACGTATCTCTACATACGCAAGGCGCTTGAACATACACGAGAGACACCTGCGCGAATAGACCCCGATCCGAATCAAGACTTGCACATCTCTCTACGTCTGCGTCGCGTCAACGTATGCGTGGAGGGCACGTGTGTGAAACCGCCGACTGCGTTCTCCTCCGTCAAATCTGCGAACTGCCCCAACCGAGACCGTATGCGAAACCGCCGGCACAGCATTATCTTCCGTTGAATTTACGAAGCGCTGCAGCCGAGACACGTATGTGGTACCGGCGGCACAACATTCTCTTCCGTTAAATCTGCGAACTTCTGCAGCCGACACACGTATAAGAACCCCCCGAGCCAACATTATCTTCCGTTAAACTGCGAACCGCTACAGCTGAGACACGGTGTTTGTATGAAAATTTCCGACAAGCCCTTATCTTCCGTTAAATCTGCGAACTGCTGCAACCGAGGCGTACTCTTTTGACGCAGGATTGACCTGGCCCACGTGGGTCTCGCGGAACGGAACAAGCGACTACTTCCGCTGCGTACATGGCACACGGTGACGTTTCTGATCAAACGCAGATCCTGTTGTGCCCGCGTTTCTTAATACGTAAAACCTACGTATGCGAGGTCGGAGGACCCGCGTACAGGAGTAAATTATCTGAACACGCCTTCACGCAGAAGCTACGTATGCTACGTCGGAGAACCGGCGTGCAGGACTAATACATTAGAACAAGCCTTCACGTACAAGCTACGTATGCGAGGTCGGAGGACCCGCGTACAAGAGTAGTTTAATTGAAATTTGCCTTCACGTAAAAATTACGTATGTGAGGTCGGAGAAGCCGAGTACAGGAGTAATTGATTAGAACTCGCCTCCACGTAAAGGCTCCTTATACGAGGCCGGAAGACCCGCGTACAAGAGTAGCTAATTGAAAGTCGCCTTTACGTAAAAGTTGCGTATGCGAGGCCTGAAGACCCACTTCCAGGAGTAGTTGATTAGAACTCGCCTTCACGTAAACGCCACGTATGCTAGGTCGGAGGACCCGCGTACAAGAGTTATTATAGAACTTACCTTCGCGGGTGGGCACATACCCGGCAGGCCAACTACTCCGGAAGCTTTCCTTGTGAAGTAGATACAACAGGACGCTTTGTACGTCGAAGAGTATCTCTACTTACAGAACTGTACATTCTTTGCGTATAGGCGTACACGCCCATGGCTCAGATTACTGCAAACTCACCTGAAAACGTGCAGTATTTGTGAAAGTCCTGCGCGTCTACGTGCGTACACGTGGCTTAGCGACACTTCAGGCACTACATGCCGCTATATACTGCGAGCTCACGTGGAAACGCCGTGTTGTTATCAAGGCCCTGCACGTGTGCCTGCGCGCACCTGCCTAAAGCGAGGCTTCAGATGCTACGAGACATGTATTCCAGCATAACACCCACAAAGACATTGCGCAGGCTCGCGCTTGGGCTCGCGTCTCGTGCATCCCTACGCATACATGCACAGGTACATACACATATATATGTATATATATATATGTACATATATATATACAAATATATATATATACATATGTATATATATATATATATATGGATAGATATATGTAAGTAGGCGGGCATACATACATATATATATGTGTATGTATAGAGTGAGCTAAACTCCCCATATGAACGAATACGCTTGGCACCATTAGCCCCCCCCGAGCCCTCTGCCTCTCCAAGAAGTCTCAGTCTCGTCCTTCCTTGTGGATGATTCGGACGAGTACATAACTCTTCCACGGGCCAATGCGGTAGCCTAGAGGCTGAATGCGCACGATGTCTCCCAAGCGTGCCTCACTTTCTTTCAATCGTGCGCCCAGACCTTCTTCAAGTACCGGAACGTCTTCTTGTAGCGCATCACGTACATAAATCTGCAGCGGCAGCAACACGCATTCGAAGAAAAACAGAGTGGACAAACAGTTCCTCAAGACAGAAGAAGCAGAAAGCATAATTGCAAAGCTAACTAACAAACGGGACCTCAAGAACCTACAAGGTCATATAGAGGTGTGAAGCACTGCCGATAATAGACGCACATTGACAGGTGCGTATATATATATATATATATATATATTTATATGTATATGTATATGCAGAGAGAAAGAGAGAAAGTCTATGTATAAATAGATATGTGTATATATATATGTATGTGTTGTACAGATATATAGGTATGTGTACGACGGGTAGAAAGAGAAGGACTACTTTTCCTCGGCGGCCTTACTTGTCGCAGGCGACCCGAATGGTTTTTGGATGTTTGTCGTTGATGACGTATCCGATCATTTCATTGTTGGGCAACGAGTTCTTCATGACTGCAGGCACAGAAGCGCCACGAACACACGTATGTAAGCGAGTATATGCGTTAACATATGCCATTATATATATGTACATACGCCCTTATATACATGTATATATATATATATATATATAGAGAGAGAGAGAGAGAGAGAGAGCGAGAGAGAGGGAAATAGACAGAGCAGGACAGACACATAGTATAGTGTAGAAATATATAGAGATGTACGTACATACAGACGTGTGGGGAAGCAACACCAGAAGAACTGCTAGCAGGAGAACCCAAGAAGTGGGCGCAAGTAGCGGAGTAGACTTGAAGCGTACGTGTACATATTTAACGAGGAGTGCATGTGTACGTATCTAACAAGGAGGAGATACCACTATGTATACACGATACGAAAGGAAGTCCCCTACACGTAGAGGAAGAGGAATCAACCCTTTTTTGTACTTGATGTCTCAGAATACGTCAGAGGAGTCGTCCAATACTCGTAGGTCGGGTCTCCGCATAGGAAAAGTAGTCCTTCTCTCTCTACCCGTCGTACACATACCTATATATCTGTACAACACATACATATATATATATATACACATATCTATTTATACATAGACTTTCTCTCTTTCTCTCTGCAAACCGTCTTCTACATGTACACACCAACGTACACACATTCATACATGCATACAGACATACCTACGTACATACATACACACTTACATATATACATACACACTTACATACATACATACATACACACATACAGGAACACACGCACAGGTACATATGTAAATACACGCATACATATATGCATACATACACACATACGTACATGCATACATATATACATGCCTCCGGTCGAGTAGCGTGAGTGCGGCCTACCAATGCACGTACACACTGCTAGTGGCCTCAGGTATTTGTCAGCGTTGCACCTGCCCCCGCGGACAAGAACACCCGCATAGCTGCTGATACTAAAAACTCTAGATCACAGAGAATGCTCGTCCTTTGTCCTGTAGCGCCGGTAGAACGGCCTGCTGATACTTTTTTAATTCAGAGGATACGGCGCATAGAGCCAGCAACATGATAGGCACTACAGGTAGCAGACATCGAGGGGAAGAGCAAGAGAAATAATGTGCAGGTGCGAAATGAGTCTACACTCTGAGCTCTTCCCCCCATGCCCTGCTGTCTCCAAAAACTAATTATGAATGTCTCGTGCGAGAGAGACCTCTAAATGTCCAACATATAGGCTTTACATATTTTCTGAGGACTGCTCTAGGTACTCGACATGAAGAACATCAGATATTCAATGCTGATCTCTCCACGTGTCAGACGTGAAAAGCTTGGCATATTCTATGCGGAGCCCTCCAGGTACCGTCCTACTTCTCTAAGCGCCCGACATGAAGGTGATTCACGTATTCGCTGCGGATACGTCTTCACAGATCCGGCTTCAGTAGCCTCGCGTATTCGAGGCAGACCCCTCGAAGTACCCGGCATGAAGGTTTCCTTCACGTTTTATGCAGACCTCTCCACATACACGCCTTCAGAAGCCGGGCATATTCTATGCGGAGCCCTCTAAGCACCGTACTCCACTAAGTACCTGACATGAAGGTTTTTCACATATTTCATGCGAAGCTCTTCGCATAGCCGGCTTCAGTGGCCTCGCATATTCCATGCAGACCCCTCCAGGTACCGTACACCTCTCCAAGCACCCCACACGAAGGTTTCTTACATACTTTGTGCAGACCTCTTCGCCTGTCCAGCTTCAGAAGCCTTGCGCATATTCTATGCAGACCCCTCAAGGTACCCGGCATACAAGCTTTACATCTTCTGTGCAAAGCACTCCAAGTAGTTCACATGTTCGAGGCAGGCCCCTCTGAGTACCCAGCCTCGAATGTTCTCCATGTTCTATGCAGACCCCCCTGAACAGTAGACGTAGGAAACTCGAGACATTCCATGCAGACTTCTATGCAGACCCCTTTACAGGCCCGAGAGACAAATTTCATGCAGACTTCACTATGTATGCGATCTGCAAGACTGCACAAATTCTATGCAGACCCCGACCCCTCTGAGTACTTTACGTATAAAGTACCGAATGCTCTAGGCACATACTCGTACGCGCGCCCGGCATAACTTGACTTACTGTGTGCAATCCTTTCATGTAAACGACGTAGCGCACTCTACATATCTTTACATATGGTAGGCACACCTTCAAAATTCAGCCATATACATGTATGTATATGTATATACATATGTATATATATATATATATGTATATACATATATATTTAAGCTTTTGCAGGTGATTGTCTATATATTCTACAATTCTCTGGGACCCGACAGAAGAAGCGTGGCATACTCTATGGAGACCCCTCTACTACCGCGGCGTACAAGCTTGACATATTCTATGCAGACCCCTCCAGGTCTCCGTCATCAGGGGGGCCATACTGCACTATCCAGTCAACCTGTAGAGAGAATGTGAGAGTATATGTATATATCTATATGTACTCTCTCGGTGCCCACACGTGTATGTACATATATATAGCTGTATATATGTATATATCTAATATATATATATATATATGTATATATATATATATATATATATGTACCCTCTCAGTACCCGGCATAGAGATTTTTACCTATTCCCCTCTACGTCCCCGCTGTAAAATGCTTTGCACAGCCTATGCAGGTGTGTGTGACGGAGGGAAGTAGCTAACAGGTGCGTAGATACCCTTCAAGTGCCCACTATAAAATGCTCTACATATCTTATGCAGGTGTGTGTGAAAGATGAAAGGAGCTCACAGGTGCGCAGATAGCCTGTAAGTTGCCCGCTACAAAAGGCTATACATATCTTATGCAGGTGTGTGTGACGGAGGGAAAGAGCTTACAGGTGCGGAGGTACCCGGCAGTGGAGCGCTGCCAGGTCTTGTAGTGCCAGTGGCGCGAAACGGCGGAGAGAGCTAGCAACATGGTAGGTTCCGGCGTTAGCAGATCTTCGAAGGAAAAACGTGAAAATTACAGTTCAGCTGTGAGGTAAGTCTCCCATCTGAGCCAGCAACTTGGTAGGCGCCACAAGAGGAAAATATGAGCGGAGGGACAGGAGAAATATGAGCGGAGGGACAGGAGAAGTAAAGCTTAGCTGTGAGACGGGGTTCCACTTAGCCGTGAGACGGGGTTTCACAGTGAGCTCTCCTGGAGTGCCTAAGAAAGCCCCGTATTATCTCGTATTTGAAAGCGCGGAAATGCATCATGATTTGCGTTTGTATTACTGCTGCTACTCTTTTACGCAGAGAGTAGTCTCCGCGCCGAGAAGCAGGCGAGGGGAAATGCCTCACTTTATGTGTATGGTTTGGTGATGGCGCTCGCAACCGATTATTAGATGACCAGGGAGCGGAGGGACAGAACAAGTAATGTTTAGTTGCGAGACTAGGTCCCACATGCATACGTTAGGACGAAAGTTCTCTTCATATGCATTCTACCTCACACACCGGATGTTCATATTCTGTCCTGTAGTGTAAGTACGAATGGCCTATTGACAGCCTTTCGATTCACTGAGTACGGCGGATAGAGCCAGCGAAACGGTGGGTAGTAGAAGCAGCAGACATTGAGGCGAGGAGCAGGAGAATTCATGTGCTGCTGCGAGATGGTTCACTCTTCTCAGTTTCTTCAGTGCATGCCGTGCTGTCTCGAAGAAGTGCTTGTGGACTCCTGGTGCCCTCTCTCCACGGGCGCCGACCAGACAGGAAGTCCACCTCAGCTACAGGCCCACACGCATGAGTTAGGACGAAAATCACATCACATGCATGTACGCGCGCGTGTGACAGCAGGTGCTGTCTCTCCCCTCAGCAAGACACTATGGATGAATGTGTCTTCTGCTGCCCTCTCTACAACGGCGCCGACCACATAGAAAGCCCCTTTACCTACAGGGCCACACAGACGTGAATTAAGACAGAATAGTTCATCGTATGCCTGTACGTTTGCGTATGGTATGAATTACCGGCAATTCCTTTAGCAGCGCACCGTGGAAAACGTGCTTCTTGATGTATATCCACGGTGCCGTCTCCGCGCTGGCGCCCATGAAGGCAACTCGGCGCCTGTGATATGTTCATAATGTATATACATACACATATGCATATATAAACAGAAGAAGCGTCCTCCCTGACGATTTAGCTTGCAGACTAATACCTTTTCTACCTTGCAATGGATGTGTCCAGTTTCAGTATTAGGTATCCCCGTTGAACTTGCAAAGCAGGGATAGGCCGCGCGGGGGGGGGGATCGCCGTACGGTGAACGATGACCGCCAGACGGAGACAAGCAGCCGCCGGTAGCGCTAATGTGTAGTATGGACTAATGTATAGTATTCGCGCTGAAAGCAAATTTCACTGTATGTTATTCGTTTTCCGAAGGATGCTGTAGGTACACCCGCCGGCAAAACGCCATCAAAAGGGTGCGGCCACACAAGTATGCGCCCTCGCGGGCCACGCGTACTGTGCGAGGGCGAATGCAGCCCTCAGGGTTTCTGGATATACTAAAACCACATACACACATATATATACATATAAAGATACATATATAGAGAAAGAGATACACCCCCACACATATGGATGTACCAACATATGTATATATGTAGGTGTGGGGTTTTAGCACGTGTGCGGTACTTCCGCATAGCGCTCCTGGCCCTTTCGCAGGCTCGTAATCTGCAGAGACGTCGGAAGATTTCCGCTGTGTAGTTCGCACAGGCTACACGCAAGGGACTAGTTCCACACGCAGGCGTCACAATCAATTCAGTTATGCGCGCTTGCCCCCGCCAAGCGCCTCGTAGTCTGCTAGAGGGACACCTGTTACATGGTGCGCAGCCTTCTTATCCTGACGTCGTATTTCAGTTCACCAGTGCACACACTTGCGCCCTTCTATACATCGATGAGATCTCCGCGTCCCCGTCACATCTGCGAAATGAGGGTTTCTGTCCTTGTGTGTCAACAGACTGGTTAGCATACCGCGGAGGGAATCAATACGTCAGATGCAACAGACAGGACAGCCCGTCAGTCCCGGTGACTGAAAAACGTCTGTGTTCGGCAAGCTAGCAAAAGCGCTATGCACTGCGCGTCCGCGGCTGCAGTAATGCGGCGTCATCCATGTAGCCCTTGCTACAGGCCACTGCGAAAATTTCCCCGAGGGTACGTACATCCTGCAGACGTTCGAACCGTAGTGGATCAAGCATGTAGGTGTCAGCGTGCCACCATAGAATGCCTGTGCGGGCACCTGATGTAAGCTGTGTTCGTATGACTAGCGCCAATGTGACACATACAACCAGGAAAGGCGAGCGTCCGTAGCGGACTGCCGCTGTGCTGCTGTCGGACACAACGGCGTTGCACGTCGGAGTGTCCTGAAAGTCATAAACGGCTCACCTGTGTGTGTAGTAGTGCGCCTAATAGCCCCATCCCCCGCTGTGCCGGTGTCAAGCAGAATGGTGCTGCGGCGGAGAATTGTGGACCTCGTACGCGGCTCATCTGTGTGTGTTTGTCTCATAGTGTGCCTGATACTGTTCATCACTCTGCACAGTGTCCCAGAGGTCTCTCACCGCGGTGCTGCGCACGCCATGGTCTCTTGATAGACATTCTCACGACGAAACTGATTGATAGCTTGCCCGGTGTCGTCCATCACTACACACGGTGTCTCAGCGGCTTCTCACCGCTGCGCTGCGGTACGCTACGGTCTCTTGATAGCCATTCTCACGGCGAAACCGGTCGGTAGTTTGCCCAGTGCCGTCCATCCCTACACACAGTGTCTCAGCGGCGTCTCATCGCGGCGCTGCGCTACGCTGTGGTCTCTTGATGACCACTCTCACTACAAAACTTGTCGGTAGTGTGCATTCTCTACCGGACAGCCGTTTCTGCGGAGGCATACCGGAAGAACTGGTGCGCCTCGGTATTGGAAAATATGTAGAAGCACTCACGCCTTCTGGAGAGTGTGCCGATAAAAGTACGGAGAGGAAGAAAGGAATCGAAAATACGCTCAAGCACAATCTTTCCAATCATCCGCAGGCGCATCGGGACGGAGCACAGCCAATAACGTCCGTGACCACGCTGCAGAGGAAAAGACTCCAGTTGCCGTGCGTTGGAACTAAAGCAGACGGCTCTCGACTCGTCGTGCAATGTCCTAGAAACGGCCATACTCGCGTGAGCAGGGTAGAGGGCCTGGCGCCTGACTTACGGTCCTCGAAAGACCTAGGACCGCGCAGTTTACCATGTCTGTCGCCTTGTATTCATAGGGGCATTCGCCGTTGGCAGCCGACGCATGTGCGGTCCCTGAGCACACCTACATTCCCGTGCCACCCAGGAAATACGTGTGTAGGGCGCTACTCAGACGAACCGCCACTTCGCTGATTCGACGTCGGCGCCTGTGGGCGGCTGTGAAGAGTACGGTTTTTGAATGAAGTAGAAATTCGTGATTCACCATGTCTGTAGCCTTGTGTTCACGTCGCGTAGAAGCATTGGCCATGTGGCAGACGACGCATGTGCGGTCGTGAGCATACCTGCATCCCTGTGCCACCCTAGTAATACACGTGTGCGGTGCTACGCAGACGGGCCACCGCCTCCCTGATGTGTCGTTGGCCTTTGTGGGCGGCTGTTATACCGTGCGCGTTATTACGCTATCGAAGTGCCCTTCTCAGTTGCGCAGATGGGCCACCACTACGTTGATTCGTTGGTGACTACTGTGGACAAATGCAATACCGTGCGCCTTGTTATCCTATCTAAGGGCGCGCTTCTCCGCTGTGTACAAGCACACCCGCAGCGGCAGGCGCAATGCTGACAGGATACGTTCTCGGCGGCGCTTTTCATGTACCTTGGACACTGCGCGCTCTGCCTATATCTGCGGCGGGTGACTTCTGGTGTGTCTTCTGCACCCTGGGCACGAGCGTGTGGACGAACAGCCTAAGTCGGCAGAGGACCACGTCATGCGTGGCACACGTAGCGCGCAGTCTGATCTTCACATACTATTGCTATGCCTCGACAGGTTCTACAAGGTGCAGTCTAAATTTCATATAGTGTCCGTGTGCTTTACACGGTGTAGTATGCTGTTGTTAGGCTTCGGAACTTCCTACCTGGTGTAGTGCGCTGCAGCATCTTAGCGCCCTGCGACTACGAGTGGCATCCGGGTACGGCCACAAAATGTGCTGTATTCTTATTATCATTCAACCTGAGGAGCTTCTGGCGCCAGCGTATGGCGAGTAGTGCAGCCCGGTCCAAGAGTATTACCGAGAGCTCCTTCTTTTATTGAGACTCTCTTCGTCGGAGAAGGAAGACGCTACCCGCCTTGATGCTTCGGAAATCAGACCTTACTGTTGCAGAGGGGGTAACATTCTTCAGACCGTCTACCAGACGTTGCGTATGCTACCATAAGCAGCAGCCGAAAACAAGGGCGAACTTGACGGTGAGAAGAGCGCTGCCGTTTAGACCGCAACATCGCATACGATAGCAGGCGACGAAGCATTCGATTTGGCACTTAAAATGATGTGACTACTATCGATAGAATCAACCGGTCACCTGAGGAATATCCGCACTGGTGCTCGTACTACGGAGGAGTCAGCTCCCGAATCTCCGCAGTGCTGCCCATAGTAGCCGACGGTCACCGCAAAAATTTTCGCACTTTGCGTACGCAGATGTGCCTGCAGTAATCCATGAATGGAAACGCGACGGTCTGCGCGTCTCCGCTTTCCATGGCCTTTTTGCTAGTTTCCACATACTACCTTCGTAAAAGCCCATAATGCGGCTTCCCTGTACCGGCACGCTGGCTCTCTTGTTTTTCTTTTGAAGTCGAGAAGTCCCACGCGGGTGATCCTGCTATATTGCTTGTATACTTGTATTCCGTCGTATGCACATCAGTGAACACGTACATAATTCCTTGCCGCACTTCTCCGCCTTGTCCACTTCTAAAAGACGCGTAGGTTTGCAAAACCTACATAGTCAAGGACTCGTCCTTGTGGGCGCAGGCCGGTTGTTTCTCCTCGCTACCTTCACCAGCTTCCCGCTTCGCCTGCTCAATTGCTTCTGCCCTCCTCGCTTCAAAAGAAGAAGGCGGCCACACGTTTATGCGTGGGCGATAGGCGGCTATACCTTCGAGGTTATTACAAGAGAACAAAAACAAGCAGACGCATAACGTCGCTAATGTTTCAGTTCGCAGGGCGTTCTCAAGTGAAGCAGCAGAGGCACAAATTGTAAGTGTATAATCATTCTGTCTTAGGCTCTCTAGAACGCGACGTGACACATGCGAGTCCAACCTCCCTTCTTCGCCGTCTTCATGCGTCTATTATGCCCTCATGCTCGTGAGGAGTGTAGACGTCGCCCATGGTTTTGTGCAGAATGCACTGGGATCGTCGCATACCACGAGGTGATCCGAGGAAGACCAGCACGCAGAAGCGCCCATCAGCTGGGAAAACCATCGGTTGAGGATGTAAATGTGATACTTTAGGACCGCTGTCCGGGCGCATGCACGCTTGCTGCACTTCACAGCATGCCGTTGGTGAAAGGACCCTGCTTGCAGCCGCGCGCACCATGAAAACATTGGAGGCCCCTTCCGTGTAAGGTTTTCAGCCTGGTACACAACGGAGGGCCACGTGCATACAACGGCCCTACCTGCGTACAGGAGTAGACGCATCCTCGTGTACGAGATCTCGAGACATGTATGTCTACGCAGACATGCCTCAGTAGTGCTGCAGGAAGCGCCACGCTGCATTACTGATAGCGTCGGACGTGCAACGAACGCAACCGCACGCAAAGGTAGACGCATCTCTTGTGAGTGCTGGAGTGTGATATACAACGGATATCAAGGTGCGTACAACCAACGCAACCGCAAGTAGACGCGGGTGCCTCTTCTGTACGTTCTCCAGTCTTACACGTAACTGACAGCCACACATTCACAGCGGATGCTGCCGCATGCGGGCGTGAATGCACTTCTCTCTTCGTGATGTGCAGACCTGTACGTCGGCGCAAGAGCTCTTGCATACTGCTGCCGGGAGCGCGACGCTCTTGTGATTTCATACAAAGGGGTCTGTGCGCACAAGTAGGAAGATTCTAGCTGGCGTCGTTTTAAATGCAGTTGCGTATAATGCAGTGCACATGAGGATACGTCGACTCCTAGCATACTCCGAATACAGTGCAATGTGCTCGTTACACTGTCCAATCGCGCGTCCTCGACAAAGCCGCGCTCCTCTACTCTGCGTATGCGAGACCTGTCAAACCGCCCACTTTCTCTTTTGCGTCTTTCGCAGACGACTACAAGTGTGCGACAAGCTTGTCGTTCTTGCACCCGACCTCCTGCTGCTGGGAACTACACGCCTGTTCTGTGGGACACGTTTGACAGGCACGCGCTTTTTTCCGCGTAGCTTGCTTGTTCGAGACGTGGACGCCCATGTTCGCTGCAACACGTATCACAGGTATCAACTTACTCTTCGAAGCGGCCTGCTGCCGTTGAAGACGTCTGCGCACTCCCTCCAGGAAAACACGTATGACAGGTATTGGCTTCTTTCGAAGTACTCTGCAGTCTAGCTCATCACTTACTAGGCGGCGTATCGCAGTCGCTCAGACCTCGTAGGGAGAAGCCGAGACAAAAAGGGGATTCATCGAACTCTGCCGGGATCTCCAGCTCGCTGTGGCGCTGTGTACTGAGATCTGCTACTGATGTCGAGGAAGACAGCGGAGAATTACGAGCGGGGATTTCCACCCCTCTGTCATGAAGATCTGGCGTAGTGCTCCTCCCGCTGGTAGCAGCGACCCTGTCACGCTCAAGAGCTCCTGGATTGTCCGAGGAACGCAGAGAGGAGGGGGGTCCGGAGCGGAGGAAGTGCCGCGGCACGCACCTCCTCTGTTCGGCTCTGCATCCGTCCACCCATAGAGTGTTTCTGAGCTTGCTGAGAGTCGCTCTATTCTCCTCCACCGATATGCACTTGGTGTGCACTTCAGCGTGGCGGCCTCTGGTTGTTCCGTCGCTGTTCGTGTCTGCGCCCCTGACGAGTCCCCTGGCTTTCCTTCGCCGAATGAACGCCGGACGGGTGTCCCTCTCGCCGCGTATCCTCCTCGCACATATGATAAGCCGACGTCGTCTGATTCCACCGCCCACGCGAGCACGAGAGACTCTCAAACGCTCCCGGGTTGGGTAGGACTTAGATGTAGCGGAAATGTCGGGTACTCTGTGGCTCGAAGACGGCCCAGTACCAGTCTCCCTACGAAAGCAGTCCGATCTCCACGCCCTAGTCACCTCCCAGACGGGCGCGTCGAGCATCTGGTGCCTTCTCCCCATAAGAAGATGGCGGAAGTACTTCTGCTTTTGTGACTTATTGGCTGGCTCTTGATGTTCTAGTGGAGTAGCTGATTCAGTTTTGCCAGACGATGACGGGCGTGGTGGACATGCCTTTGACCGCACGAAACTTGTATGTCGGACACATTGCTGGCTCTCGGGGGGTTTCAGAAAGCGTGCGCCAGGAGTAGCCGATTGATAGGCGCTTCTTGCAGTCGTCTGGGGGAGGATACGACCGGCCGTACGTCGCACCAATCTTGAATAGCGACCGCACAGCTGACTCTCAGTGGGTTTTATCGGGCGCGCGCGAGGACCGGCCGTATGACAGGCGCCTCTTGCAACCAGCCGGCGGAGAATACGCGGGGTCGTAGGTCGCATCAACTTAGTATAGCTGCCGCAAAGCTGACCCTCAATGGGTTTTATTAGACGGGCGCGACGACTGGCGGAATGATAGGCGCTCCCTGCAACCATTCGGGGGAGAATACGCACGGACCTAGGCCGCCTCAGCTCGTGGCAGCGAACGCATGACTGGTTCTCAGCCGGTTGGCTCAGGCGTACGCGAGGACGGGCGGAGTTGTAGACGCCTCTTGCGATCATCCGGCGGAGAATGCGAGCAGCCCGCGGCGAGGGCTGTATTATCCTACTATGACAGCGTTTCGGGATATTTTCGTTCCTGTGGCGGCTCTTACGCTTACCTTGCAGATGAATCACTGGTTCTCGTAGTCGAGGCGTGTGTTCATTCGCCAGCTGCTGGCGCTTTACAGCAGACGCTTGTAACTGGGACGGCGTCGCCTTCGCCGAAATATATGCCGGCTCAGTCGTGAGCTTATGAGTCGATACTCTAGAGTCTTTTCCTTGTGCCTCCTCTTCTCTCCCCGTATCCGTGCCCCATGTCCGCTCAGACGCCAACACGTCTTGAAAAGCTCCCCAGGATTCCACTTTCCATGTAGGATGAGCCCAGCTGTCCTTCTGCTTGCTATTAGCTGTACAGGAGGCACCCAAGGAAAAAAGGCTTGCAGACGCTATGTCCACTCGAGTTGACACCACTGTTCCGCTGCCACGCAGGAAACGGTGAACCTCCACCTCCAAACGCATGTCATGCTCTTCCGAGAACCACACCTTCGACCGGGAGTAGACGGCTCGCATTTTCTCAGCAGGGAGCCACGTTGGCGTTGTGCACGTGAACGTCAACACGTCGTCGAGATCGACAAAGTTCAGCGCTTCCGCCCACGCCCCGGAGAAGAAAAGTTCTCTGCTTGTCGTTTCCGGAAAATCGAACAGCAGTTCTTGACGCAGATGATCTGTTGATGCCGTCTGAGGAAAGTCAGATGTGGACTCCATCAGCAACAATCGGAGCGGCTGCTGAAACTGTTGACTTCCAGGAGTAATGAAGTACACACGACCGACAAAACGGATTGCTAACGGTCTGCGCCGACGCAGAAGGTGCAGGGCTTTCTTGTGATAGCCAGGTTCTTTTCTTCTCCGCTCACGAAACACCCGCGAACGCGAGTTGGCGCAGCAATGCGGCAGCTCCATGCTTCCAGTAAACAGAGATCCATGGAGCGATAACGCGGCCGAGCATCGAAGGAAAGAACTGACGTCGGACAGTCTGGTTCGACGTAGGTTTGTAGGAGGAGAACTGTAGTCAGTCGGCGCTTTACGTTTCAGCCCGGACGAATTCAAAGGCTTGAGGGGGAAAGTGCGTAGGTGCGTGGCAGGAGAAATATAAGCAGTCGGCGCCTAGCGTTTAAGCCCGGAGGGCTTCACGAAATTAGCGTCGGAGATACCTAGCCTTATAGCAGGACAGGTGTAAGCGGTTGGCGCTTTGCATCTCAGCGCGGACGGCTCCAGAAAAATTAGAGGCGGACGCGCCCCTTGGTGAGCGGCAACCCTCCGTTCCCGTCACTCGCTGTGGGCAACCTCGGCACAGTTGGTACCAATAGGGTCTGAACAAGTTCCGTAGACTGCGTTGATGCAAGTGGGGCTTGTCGCATGCTGCCGCATTTGAGTTCACCAGTCAATTCTGCGCCATCGATCTGGGCCCTCAACGCAGGAATAGACAAGTAGCTTGTGGCTTCTAAAGCGGTCCGCGTGTAGTTTGAGTGAGCCCAATGCAAGCGAACAGTACTCCTTGAGGGCCCCGACACAGCCGGCACACGTTCCTGAACCCAGATTCTTCGAGGAGACCGTGGTCGTCAGGTAGCTCGTGGAAGAAAAGAACCAGAACCGAGCGAATACTCCTATAGGGAAGAAAGTGCGTTAATTCTGGCATGTAGGCCGCTAAGCCCACTTTTCTTCAGGAGGCTCTGCGTCGAAAACGACAGCCTAAGTAGACGGCGAAACGGCACAGAACGACGCTATATCTTTTCCAGAGCCGGGCTCCCCTTGATTGGACTACTTCTTCGAACAAAAGGCCGCACGCCGACGAAGAGCGTGAAACAAGGCAGATCCCATGTTGTCCAAGACATGAGTTTCACCGCAGTGTGACGAACTTCCCGTCGTGGCGTACGATCACAAAAGCCTAGGCTCGAGCATGCAAGATGTTGGTCACGCGCCATGCGATGCGGTGTTTATCACGTCTGCAGAGGCCGGGGTACAAGACAGAGACAAGGAACACATGAATAAGGCCCCATGATTCCCTCGGACGCACAGGGGAGCAACGCGCTCCATATGGACTGTGCTCGCGCATCGCGGTCTCCTTACAGTCGATTGTAGAAGTGCTGCCTGGATCTTGCCGATAACGTGCATAGTTTTTTGGGCATAGCCCCTTCGCTATCTTCGTGCGGATGCACTCAAGTGAATGGTCTACCTGGCTCTCCGCGGCCGTATGTTCTCCGGCGGAATCGACGATGCTCGCGTTTTCCACACGCAGGCGGGTCTTGCAGATTTACCCGAACGCACGTTGGCTGCAAGGTGACCAGCTGCGCCTCCCAGCTTAACGTCTTCACGGGCGATTGTTGGACTTGCGTGAGCCTTGCCGGCGTGGCTAGTTGCCATCATTATAACCGCTTCACAATTTTCGTGCGGGTCTGCTCTAGCAAGCAGTCTACCTGGCTCTCCGCAACCGCGCATTTTCGGATGAAGGCGGCCATGCTCGCGTTTTCCAAGGAAGGCTTGTGTATTCACTCGAACGCCCAGAGGCTGCGACGTGGCCATGCGCTGGCCTATCGTGGATTTTTCTGAGACGGTTGGAGAGCCACTGCCTGTCCTGCCGGGAGCTTGCATAAATCCGTTTTTATAGTCCCTTTACTAGCCGCTTGCGAAAATCTCGAGTAGGCAGTGTCGCTTGCTCTCCGCAAGGGCGGATATCCAGGTGAAGTCGGCAATACTCGCGTTTTCCGCCCGCGAAGAAGACGTGTGAACTCACTCCAACGCCCACAGGCTGCGGCGTGATCATCTGCGCTCTCGTGTCGTAATTTTCTCGGGGGCGATTGTCAAACTTCTGTCTGGGTCTTGCCAAGAGCTTGCGTAATTCTGGTGTTATAGTCCCCTTCCTATCTGGAAAGACGCGAGCAGTCAGTCTGCCTGGCTCTCCGCAACGACGCATCTCCAGATGAAGTCGGCAATGCTGGCGTTTTCTCCCGCGGAGAAGTCCTGTGGATTCACTCGAACGCCCATGGGCTGTAACGTGATCATGTGCTGTAGTATCGTAGATTTTAGGGACGATTGTAAAACCCCTGCCTGAGTCTCGCCGAGAGCTCGCGTAAAACGGCTGTCACAGCCCCTTTGCTACCTGTGTGCGGAACAACTTGGGTTGTCAGTCTGCCGGGCTCTCCGCAGCGGCGCCCGCTCCAGATGAACTCGGCAATGTTCGCGTTTCCACACGCGGAGTTTTTTGGATTCACTCGAAGGCCCATGGGCTGCGACGTGGTCGTGCGCTGTCGTATCGTATTTATATCAGAAAGGACTGTAGAACTCCTGTCTGAGTCTTGTCGAGAGCTTGCGTAACTCTGGTGCTGTAGTCCCTTCCTACCTGTGTGCGGGGAGAACTGGTGTAGTCAGTGTGCCTGGCTCTCCGCAATGGCGCATCACCAGGTGATGTCGGCAATGCGCGCGTTGTTCACGACACGCGGGAGACGTCTGGTGCGTTCACTCGAACGCCCACAGGCTGCGGCGTGATCATCTGCGCTATCGTGTCGGCGTCTCCTACGTACGACTGTAGAACTTCTGCCTGAGTCTTGCGCAGAGCTTGCGTAAATTCGGTGTTACAGTCCGCTTTGTATCTCTGTGCGGGAAAACTCGAGTAGTCCAGTCTGCCTGGCTCCCGCAGTGGCACATCTCTCAGGTGATGTCGGGAATGCGCTCGTTGTTCACAACACGCGGAGACGTCTGGTGCGTTCACTCGAACGCCCACAGGCTGCGGCGTGATCATCTGCGCTATCCTGTCGTCATTCTCCTACGGACGACTGTAGAACTCCTGCCTGAATCTTGCCAAGAGCTTGCGTAAATTCGGTCTTAACAGCGCGTTTGCTATCTGTGGGCAGAGAATCTTTAGTCAGCCTGCCTGGCTCTGCACAACGGCGCATCTCCAGATGGAGTCGGCAATGCTCGCGCTTCCACAGGCGGAGAAACTTGTGGGTTCACCCGAACGCCTATAGGCTGAGAGGTGGTCATGCGCTGTCGTAACTTAGTTATCTTAGGGACCATCGTAGAACCTCCTGCCTGAGTCCTTAACGAGTGCTTGCGCAAATCCGGTGTCACAGTGCCTCTCCTATCTGTGTACGGACAGCTCGAGTAGTCAGTCTGCCTGGTTCTCCGCAATGGCGCATCTCCAGGTGATGTCGCAATGCGCGCGTTGTTCACAACACGCGGAGACGTCTGGGTGCGTTCACTCGAACGCCCCACAGCTGAGGCGTGATCATCTGCGCTATCCTGTCGTCATTCTCCTAGGACCACTGTAGAACTCCTGCCTGCGTGTTGCCACAAGCTTGCGTAAATTCGGTCTTACAGCGCGTTTGCCATCTGTGTGCAGAGAATCTTGAGCAGTCAGCATGCCTGGCTCTCCACAACGGCGCATCTCCAGACGGAGTCGGCAATGCTCGCGCTTCCACAGGCGGAGAAGACCTGTGGGTTCTCCCGAACGCCTATAGGCTGAGAGGTGGTCATGCGCTGTCGTAACGTAGTTATCTTAGGGACCATCGTAGAACTCCTGGCCGGAGTCTTGCCGAGTGCTTGCGCAAATCCGGTGTCAGTGCCTTTCCTATCTGTGTGCAAAACAGCTCGAGTAGGCAGTCTGCCTGGCTCTCCGCAATGGCGCACCTTCAGTGAGGTCGGCAATGCGCGCGTTGTTCACAACACGCGGAGACGTCTGGTGCGTTCACTCGAACGCCCACAGGCTGCGGCATGATCATCTGCGCTATCCTGTCGTCATTCTCCTAGGGACCACTGTAGAACTCCTGCCTGCGTGTGGCCACAAGCTTGCGTAAATTCGGTCTTACAGCGCGTTTGCCATCTGTGTGCAGAGAATCTTGAGCAGTCAGCATGCCTGGCTCTCCACAACGGCGCACCTCCAGATGGAGTCGGCAATGCTCGCGCTTCCACAGGCGGAGAAGACTTGTGGGTTCACCCAAACGCCTATAGGTTGAGAGGTGGTCATGCGCTGTCGTAAGGTAGTTATCTTAGGGACCATCGTAGAAACTCCTGCCTGAGTCTTGCCGAGAGCTTGCGTACTCTGGTGCTGTAGTCCCTTTCCTACCTTGTGGCGGAGAACTGGTGTAGTCAGTGTGCCCTGGCTCTCCGCAATGGCGCATCTCCAGGTGATGTCGGCAAATGCGCGCGTTGTTCACAACACGCGGAGACGTCTGGTGCGTTCACTCGGACGCCCACAGGCTGCGGCGTGATCATCTGCGCTATCGTGTCGGCGTTCTCCTACGTACGACTGTAGAACTCCTGCCTGAGTCTTGCGCAGAGCTTGCGTAAATTCGGTGTTACAGTCCTCTTTGTATCTCTGTGCGGGAAAACTCGAGTAGTCAGTCTGCCTGGCTCTCCACAGTGGCACATCTCTCAGGTGATGTCGGCAATGCGCTCGTTGTTCACAACACGCGGAGACGTCTGGTGCGTTCACTCGAACGCCCACAGGCTGCGGCGTGATCACCTGCGCTATCCTGTCGTCATTCTCCTAGGGACCACTGTAGGAACTCCTGCCTGCGTGTTGCCACAAGCGTGCGTAAATTCGGTCTTACAGCGCGTTTTGCTATCTGTGTGCAGAGAATCTTGAGCAGTCAGCATGCCTGGCTCTCCACAACGGCGCATCTCCAGACGGAGTCGGCAATGCTCCGCGCTTCACAGGCGGAGAAGACCTGTGGGTTCTCCCGAACGCCTATAGGCTGAGAGGTGGTCATGCGCTGTCGTAACGTAGTTATCTTAGGGACCATCGTAGAACTCCTGCCGAGTCTTGCCGAGTGCTTGCGCAAATCCGGTGTCAGTTGCCTTTCCTATATGTGTGCAAAACAGCTCGAGTAGGCAGTCTGCCTGGCTCTCCGCATGGCGCACCTTCAGGTGAGGTCGGCAATGCGCGCGTTGTTCACAACACGCGGAGACGTCTGGTGCGTTCACTCGAACGCCCACAGGCTGCGGCATGATCATCTGCGCTATCCTGTCGTCATTCTCCTAGAGACCACTGTAGAACTCCTGCCTGCGTGTGGCCACAAGCTTGCGTAAATTCGGTCTTACAGCGCGTTTGCCATCTGTGTGCAGAGAATCTTGAGCAGTCAGCATGCCTGGCTCTCCACAACGGCGCACCTCCAGATGGAGTCGGCAATGCTCGCGCTTCCACAGGCGGAGAAGACTTGTGGGTTCACCCAAACGCCTATAGGTTGAGAGGTGGTCATGCGCTGTCGTAAGGTAGTTATCTTAGGGACCATCGTAGAACTCCTGCCTGAGTCTTGCCGAGAGCTTGCGTAACTCTGGTGCTGTAGTCCCTTTCTACCTGTGTGCGGGAGAACTGGTGTAGTCAGTGTGCCTGGCTCTCCGCAATGGCGCATCTCCAGGTGATGTCGGCAATGCGCGCGTTGTTTCACAACACGCGGAGACGTCTGGTGCGTTCACTCGGACGCCCACAGGCTGCGGCGTGATCATCTGCGCTATCGTGTCGGCGTTCTCCTACGTACGACTGTAGACTCCTGCCTGAGTCTTGCGCAGAGCTTGCGTAAATTCGGTGTTACAGTCCGCTCTGTATCTCTGTGCGGGAAAACTCGAGTAGTCATTCTGCCTGGCTCTCCACAGTGGCACATCTCTCAGGTGATGTCGGGAATGCGCTCGTTGTTCACAACACGCGGAGACGTCTGGTGCGTTCACTCGAACGCCCACAGGCTTGCGGCGTGATCACCTGCGCTATCCTGTCGTCATTCTCCTAGGACCACTGTAGAACTCCTGCCTGCGTGTTGCCACAAGCGTGCGTAAATTCGGTCTTACAGCGCGTTTGCTATCTGTGTGCAGAGAATCTTGAGCAGTCAGCCTGCCTGGCTCTCCACAACGGCGCATCTCCAGATGGAGGCGGCAATGCTCGTGTTTCCACACGCGGAGTTTTTTGGATTCACTCGAAGGCCCATGGGCTGCGACGTGGTCGTGCGCTGTCGTATCGTATTTATATCAGAAAGGACTGTAGAACTCCTGCCTGAGTCTTGCCGAGAGCTTGCGTAACTCTGGTGCTGTAGTCCCTTTCCTACCTGTGTGCGGGAGAACTGGTGTAGTCAGTGTGCCTGCCTATCCGCAATGGCGCATCTCCAGGTGATGGTCGCCAATGCGCGCGTTGTTCACAACGCGCGGAGACGTCTGGTGCGTTCACTCGAACGCCCACAGGCTGCGGCGCTGATCATCTGCGCTATCCTGTCGTCATTCTCCTACGGACGACTGTAGAACTCCTGCCAGAGTCTTGCCGAGACCTTGCGCAATTTTGCTGTCATGGTCTCTTTCCTACCTGTGAGCGGAGAACGCGAGCAGTCAGCGTGCCTGGCTCCTTAAAACGGTGCATCTCCAGATGAAGTCGGCAATGCTCGCGTTTCCACACGCGGAGAAGACTTGTGGATTCACTCGAACGCCCATAGGCTGCGACGTGGTCGTGCGCTGTAGTATCGTAGTTTCCCAGGGACGATTGTGAACCTCCTGCGTGCGTCTTGCCAATAGCTTGCGTAAAATCCGGTGTGACAGTGCGTTTCCTCCCTGTGTGCCGGAGAACGCAGTAGTCCGTCTGCCTGGCTCTCCGCAACGGCACATCTCCAGGTGAAGTCGGCAGCGCTCGCGTTGTTCACAACACGCGGAGACGTCTGGTGCGTTCACTCGAACGCCCACAGGCTGCGGCGTGATCATCTGCGCCAGCGTATCGTACGTACTCTGGGGACGATTGTGGAACTCCTGCCTGAGTCTTGCGAGAGCTTGCGAATTCTGATGTTACAGTCCCCTTCCTACGTGTGTGCGGAGAAACGCGAGTAGTCAGTGTGCCTGGCTCTCTGCAACGGCGCATCTCCAGATGAAGTCGGCAATGCTAGCGTTTCCACACGCGGAGGAAGACTTGTGGGTTCACTCGAACGCCTATAGGCTGCGACGTGATCATGCGCTGTAGTATCGTGATTTCCCAGGGACGATTGTGAATCTCCTGCGTGAGTCTTGCCAATAGCTTGCGTAAATCCGGTGTGACAGTCCGTTTCCTCCCTGTGTGCGGGAAAAGGCGAGTAGTCAGCCTGCCTGGCTCTCCGCAACGGCGCATCTTTAGGTCAAGTAGGCAACGCTCGCGTTTTCCGCACGCGGTGAAGACTTGTAAATTCACTCCGGCGCCCATAGGCTGCGACGTGATTATGCGCTGTGGTATCGTATTTATTTTTTGAACAATTATAAAACTCTTGCTTGAGGCTTGCCACGAGCTTGCATAGATCCGGTGTTACAGTCCCTTCGCTACCTTTGCGGAAAAACTCGAGCGGTCAGCTGCCCGGCTCTCCGCAACGGCGCTCCTTCAGGTTAGGTCGGCAATGCTCGCGTTGTTCTCAGCAGGCGGAGACGTCGTGTGCGTGCACTCGAACGCCCACAGGCTGCGGCGTGACCATCTGCGCTAGTGCATTGTAAGCTTGCTCAGGACGATTGTCAAAGTCCTGCCTGAGTCTTGCCAAGACCTTGCGTAAATTAGGCGCTACACTCCCTTTGCTACCTGTCTGCCGGAAAAACTCGAGTAGTCAGTCTGCCTGACTCTCCGCAACGACGCATCTTCAGATGGAGTCGGCAATGCTCGCGTTTCCAACACGCGGGGACGACGTGTGGACTCAATCGAATGCCCACAAGGCTCCGACGTGGTCATGCGCTGTCGTATCGCAGACTTTTTGGGGCGACTGGAGAACTACTGCCTGCGTTTTGCCGAGAGCTTGCGTAAATCTGGTGTTGTAGCCTCTTTTCCTGTATCCGTGCGAAAAAACTCGCGTAGTCAGTCTGGCCTGGCGCACCACAGCAGAGCATCTCGGGATGAAGTGGCAATGCTCGCGTTCTCATACACGGCGCGCGGAGTGAGATCAGAACCTAGCGTCTCACGACATCGCACGACTGCGATTTGTGACATGCCGCGCTCCGACCAGCTTGCGCTGTCATAGACACTGCGGTTCTGACTGCGTTTCACTTCAGCGGATGTTGTGTTGTACTATTGGTGGATGTTGCAGAAGACGGATGAAACTCTGGGGTCGTCCGCATGAAAATTGCCCTCGCACCGCGAGCACGTGGTCGTATTCCCGCTAGGGTGTGCTACACAACGGGCGATTCTCTGCGAGAGGCGCGCCCCGCCTCACCTCCCCGAAGTGCCCTGCTCCGCCGTCGCGTTAGAAGAGAAGGCGAGCCGCATTCTTTGGATACTTCCATATGGCTATGCGACCGCAGGTCAGCGTGCGTATGCCCCCAACAAATGTCGACTGCTGGACCAAGCCAGGTCACACCGCAAATAAAAATGGTCCTTCCGTAGCCCTTGCTACATAGTTCGTAGATCTGTGCGACCGGCACATCAGCTCGGCGGGTGCTCGCAACAAAGGCCGAGTATTGGAATTAATCCACCTCACACCGTAAGTAAGAATGGACTTTTCGTAGCCTGTGTAGAGGACTACTAGGCGCTGCGAGCCTGCGTCCTCCACAGGGTGCGTGCCCGTTAGCATTGTACGCAATCCTCCACTCACACGTTACGGCATTGTCAAGAAATTTGATTCATAGAGTGGAAGATGCAGTTTTTCGTGAAGTAAGCAGACCCTCCGGATCCTACATGGCGGACCTCTCCTCTACCGTGTCGCTTCAGTCCCTTCCAGTAATAGCTTGCGCGCGGAAACGTTTTGCTACACAAATGCCCACCCTGCAGACGACGGAAAAGCAGCTTTTCCGCAACCAGTGTACACCGTATAGCAAGACCGATCGGCACTTGTTCGGCGTAGCTAGCCGGAGAAGAGCTGCCCAACGTGTGAGTGTGTGAATGAAAGAAGTCTGTGCACGAGTATCATAGGGTGCCAAAGCCGCTTTCGTATATTCGCCGCCTCCGGTTTTTGTCGGAGGCGCACAGCGCAATAGCGGGTCTACACAAGCTGGAGGCACTTGGTAACCGTACTTAATTGCATATTGTATTCTGCTGCGCGATTGACCTGGGCGCGCTCGATAAGGAGAAGCGAGGACCCCCCTTATTCCGTTCCCATAGTGCGGTATGCATATCCGTTTTTTAGGTACTCTTTCATCGTTAAGAGGGATTTCTTTCTGCTCCGCTTGCGCCTCGTACATGCCGCCATTTCTGCAAACGAAGTAGCAGCAGTTAGGTTACGAGTGTGGAGGTATTCGGGTGAGCTACGGAACAGAAAGAAGTTTAGCAGTGTTTAGTCACTCGCCTTGTGAAGATCTGGGTTCCCCCTCTGCGTTCAGCGTCTCGGGTTTATCAGGATCGTTCTCTAGGAGGGGATTGGGAAAATCCGAGATGCTCGCTTCAGCTCAATAGGCAGTACGCTGAAAAAGTGGCGATTCGAAGCGTAGCGTGGGACAGTATACGTGTGCACATCTAGTTTTACATACGTGTAGACTCATACGCCCAGCACAAACAAAGAAACACTGTCCTCTGACATTATTCAACACAGGGCACGCGCAAGTAGGACTGTCCAGTCTCCGCCAAGGTGTCAGCTTTTCAGCTACCGCAGCGTAATCTGTGTAACGGGAGACTGCAGAATATGACGGTTCCTATAGACCGCGAACGTACAGGTGTTAACCGTTGCTCTACACGCCGGCACATATTCCAGTTCGCACGTGTGTCGCATGACAAGTCTTCCGGTGCTACGTGTAGTGAATGGGAGCAGGAGTGCTCTGCTGTGCTTTGCGAGACGATCTCTCGTTACCTTGCCACGGCCCTTTGCTGCGTAGATATGCGCACTGTTTGTTCAACTAGTCCTCTTCTTCAGAAACAGCAAATGTTCTGACCTTTTGAATGGCTTCTATGGCCTGGTCAATGTAGTGTCGCACTGTATTTGGTAGCTGGTAGCGCAGTTTCTCGCAGAACCCAATTTACCTCCAGGCTCACTCCATTGACGACGATGCGCGGGCGTCCTAGTGGTCCCTCTGCACTGCAGTGGCATATAATCTTTTCCAGCTGCGCGGCCTACCCATGCAGAAGCGCGGAAAGAGACATCTACGTCGTGTCTCAGCACTGTACTGGTGGAAGCCGCCACTTCTAGAAGATCAACCACGCTCTGCGTGTGAAATGGCCACAGCAGGCGGACGCCTGAGGTCAGCACGTCTGGCAGGCTTTTGCGACAAGTGTACGTGTGGGTGAATGGGAACAGATACACTCAGCGGCGCGAAGGCGTACAGATGCACGTTTATCCCGGAAAATTCTTCAGTCGGCTCAGTCTCCACTGCCACGGACGCTTCTTCCCTGCAAGGCAAATCGTACGCTGTTTGAGCGCCCTGTTTGCGAGACATGTGCAAACGTACACCTCTTTTCCTGGCGTCGCCGTCAGTCTTCCTTTCTATGGAGTGCCACATTCGTCGCATGGATAACTCAAACGTTGAGTGCATCGCACGTCAGTATCCGCACGTTACAACACCTGTCTCTTTGCAGAGGATGGCTCCTGTATCGAGTTGATCCAGGTGTTTCTACCTGCAATATCCCTGCCGAGGAACAAATAATTCTCCGCTACGTCCGGTCCGCACATTTCGCTTCAGTTCTGACTTGGCGCAGTAGACATCTGCAAGTTCTCCTTTCAAGCGGATGGCAAAACACTTGTCATCAACTGTTTCGAGAGGCGTCGACACGTCCGCGAGATTATAGCTTTTCTCGACGACCTGGTTAGAAATCCACGGCGCTGTTCCTACGCCGGAGAGAGATCGTGAAATGTTGTAGGACAGTCTTACGTGGCCGCTGTATAAGGCTAGTTTGTCACGGGTCAGATGTCCGGCAGTCAGCATTCTTGCGTCGCGGTCGTTCTTATCGAGGATTTTAACCAGCAAACCGCGGAACCCTGTATTTTCAGATTTTTTAGCAGAATCCACCCGACACCGGCGCAGATTCTACGGATTCGTACACTCAGCACGCCCTGCAACCGAAGCATACCTTCGCCGCAGTATCTCATTTCCCCGAGCTTCTCCCGTGTTTGCTTGGCTTCGAGGAAACGTCTGTTAAGCCACCGAGATGTGCTCATTCTGGGATGTATAGAAGAAGCAGAGCAGCGTACGCGCACTTGGAGAGTGTCCCCGCTATCACAAACCGGACAGTTGCCAGTACCACTGCGGTCGCCGCGTAATAAAACCGCCTCCTACTCATTTTCGTCTCTGAACGCCAATTGCTGAAGCCTTTCGTACACTTTTCCGGTCCTGGAAGACTTTTGTCGATCCAGTGGTAAGAATGAACCTGGAGTCGGCGTGGCGCAGGAGCTATGCGTGACCTGTGTACGTACACCGTGTTCCGTATCTCTACTCAGAGACATCTCTGTATTGAATGAAAGTAGCCGGGATGGAGGTACTGGGTGCACACGCGCACGCCAGATTATGAAAGCGTCCGCCGGCGGCAGCGACCGCGGGGGCCGCCACCCCATATTTTATATCTCTGCTGAAGGGACATCCTTTCGCGGGACGAGGTAGAAGGGACGGGGGTACGACGTGCACGCGCGGACGTTCGATTAGGGAAGCGTTCGCCGCGGCAGCGACGGCTGAGTTCGACACGCCCATATTTCATGTCTGTGCTAGGAGACATCTCTGTACGGAATGAGGTAGCGACGGGCGGGACGTACTGTGTGGCACACGCGCATGCTAGGTAAGGAAAGCGTCCGCTGGTGGGAGCGATCGTTGAGTTCGACACGCCATATTTCATATCCGTGCCAAGAGACCTCTCTGTAGGTGGTGAGGTAACGACGGGCGGTCGTGCTGTGTGCACGCACGCGTGCTAGGACAACGGAAGCGTCCCTGACGGCCGTGTTCGACACTCCATATTTCATATCTCTGCTGAAGGGTCACCTCTAAATGTAATGACGTGACACCATACAGAAGTACCGCGTGCACACGCGCCCGCTAGATTAGGGAAGCGTCGGCGCCGGC